CTATTGAATTTTATTCCTAATGAAACAAACAAACAAACAAACAATTTGCAAAAGATGACATGGTGCAACTTGTATATTGTGGCGAACTACCCTTGATGAGGACTACAAAACAATGCATCACTTATGGAGTCATAGAAGTTATTTTATAGGGGGTGTTATTATTCGACAACACGCTAACAATTATAATTTAGTATTAGTTACGGATCGGAGTACATTTGTATATTAATAATGATTTTGAAATTTATGATGCAACCCTTCTACTACTTGCTTCAAAAATAGCAACATGCACTTGATATGTTCTCTTTATCAAAACTTATCTGAACTTAGCTTATTATTAGGCCTAATTTGACCTGATTTGCACTAATTTCATCTTATGTTTACACATTATGATGGGATCTAATCAAGTCAATTATAATGATTTTTGTTGTCCTCTCTCCCAACTTATCATTTTCTGTTGATACTATCTATGAATTACGAAGTATTTTTTTGTTGAAATAAACTTACTACGTACCTGTTAATATAATTGTTAGAATAAAAAATATCTTAAACAATATTTATTGCATGTGAACTCATTTAAACAGATAAGATTTAATTATATTTAAAATAAGTCAAAATAAGTTGAAGGATCTTATTTGCATTACGTATTACTTGTTTTAACATCTTATATATACACAATTATAAAATTTAATAGGTCATGTACATCATTTTCCATTCTTAAATTATGTTAAGAAGGATCATGTATTCATGTTGCATTTCTTCGTAGACTTTGACGTTTGATGAGCATGAAAAGAATTTCGATAAGATTCTAAACAATAAACAGAAAATCATGGCTGACCTAACATAAGAAAAAATTTAGCTAAAATATTTATAGCACTTTCTCAACAAAATATCCACCTGGCATATAATTTCCATGCAACTTTTGAACTTTTTCATATTTTTTGAAACAAATTAAAGGTGGTTGTCAAGTCTTCATCAACCAATTAATTAAGTGCAAAAAGCGCATAAAAGTGCTCACTTCCCTTTCAAAAACAGTATTATGGCTCCTCCGATCCCTCAAATTATAAAGCCCCTTCTTCAATAGTAACGGCAAAATGGGAAGAGTGATTAAGATATGAGTAGATAAACTTATGTTCTTCACCTAATATATTCATTCATATATGTTAAATCTCATAAGTTTGAAATAATAATAATAATAATAATAATGATAATAATAATGATAATAATAATAATAATAATAATAATAATAATAATAATAATAATAATAGCTAGAGGAGTGGGGGCCCAGATTGTATCTCGGCTTCCCACTAATTTTCTATAGGTTGTATAACTTTGTATGTTTTTGAGATTAATAATAATAATAACAACAACGACAACAACGACGACAACAACAACAATAACAACAACAACAACAACAATAATAATAATAATAATAATAATAATTGTGTTGCTGAAGCGGGTTTAGGCGTTCGCTAAGGCTCAAGATATTAGTGCTCGAGCAGCTGCTCACATCTTCAGCAGGATCGGGTTCGCTATAGCTAGAGGGGTGGGGGCCCAGATTGTATCTCGGCTCCCCACCAATTTTTTATAAATTGATTGACTTTGTAGGTTTTTTGAAATTTTTATAATAATAATAATAATAATAATAATAATAATAATAATAATAATAATAATAATCTATTCTAATATATATTTTAAAGGGGAGTTTTTCCCGAAGTTTTTAGAGAGCATATGATTTAATTTTCTTAGCGCGCCATGTAAGATTATAAATTTAAGCGGTAGCTAGTTAAATAAGAGATTATTAATTTCTTTTACAATTAAATAATTCAAATGCCACGTAAGCAAAATTGGCGAATGAGATTTTAAAATTTAAATTAATTAAATACAAAATATTCTCTTTTGAGATTAGGAATTTTATCTAATATTTTAAATCATATAACTAATATATAAAGCTAAACTTTTAGCCAGGCCACGACGTTGCGACACTTGGCGTTCTAACTTTTCGCCAAGTGTCGCGTCATGTTGGAACGATTCAAATAGACTTCATAAGATTAAAAAAAAAGAAAAAAAAAATTAGGATAAAATTTAAGTTTATAATTTTATTTTCGATAAAAGACCAATATTTCAGATATATAAATTGAATTATAATTTATTCAGAAAAATTATTAGAATATAATTCTTAAAAATTATCATATAAATTTAATTTTTTATGTCATAATATTTTCTTAGAGCGAAGGAATTAGTATAAAGTGTTAAACATCTATTTATAATATATACTAATCGGTTAAAATAATATACTTCACAACTAAAAGAATTTTATTACTACATAGACTTGTCAATTAAGGTTGAGTCATGAATCATCTCGGGTTGGGTCACTTTAGGCTATGAGTCAAGAAATGTTCAACCCTTGCCCAAAGTTTTGGGTTCGGGTCAACCCAACGGGCTTTGAACATTTATCTTATTTAATTTATTAATTATTTATTTTTTTAATGTATTAAATCGAACATTTCCACCAATATTAGTATTAATCATTACAGGTGCCTACTAGATAGCAAATCGTCACAAAAGCACATCAATAAACTAATTTTTTATCCAATGGTATATTTTAAAGTTTTTATCTTTAATCAATAAAAAACCCGGGCATCGCACGGGCGGCCATGGTTTAGTAAAAATAAGAATTTTGTATCTCACAAGAGTCACAACTGAGGGCAATTCTCACTAGCTAGGAGGCTAGGAGCAGCTAGCTTAACTTAATTGGGGGCGGGGATTCTCTTACCTTCCCCTTAGATTTTACCCGCTAATTCTGTTGGATTATCTTATAAAGGTTCAAGTTTGGCGGGCACATTCTCTTTATTTCAATAAAAATTAAAGAAACGGCAACACTGGACATTCCAACTTTTTGCCAAGTGTCGCGCCACGTTGAATGTACTTAGATAAACTTCATAAGATAAATTAATTAGTTTCAATCAAATTTGGATGAAATTTTAAAATAAAATTGTTAGTTGAGAGTTTTATTTTCGAAAAAATACCAATATTTCATAGGCATAAGTTGAATTATAATTTTATTCAAAAAAAAATTAGATTATAACTCTAAAATATTTCATATGTATAAATTGAATTATAATTTATTCAAAAAATTATTAGATTATAACTCTAAAAAAAATACCAATATTTTTTTTGGTGTTTTAGAGAGCCCATAAGGGCAGGCCAGGGGTGAGAATTGATCCCAAGACCTCCTAGGTTGGGAGGGAAGCTCTAACCACTTGAGCTATATATCCATCACTCACATAAAATACCAATATAATTATTAGTCATTTACATGCCTACTACATAGTTTAAATCGTTACATAGCACATTAATTCCTAACTAATTTCATATTAAAGATATATTTTGAAATTTGACGTATAGATTAATAATTTATTTCAAAATTTTAAAAACAACCCGGGCATCGCACGGGCACAAAACTAGTTAATATAATAACAATTTTAATCACATAAATATGAAAATATTTTTTTAAAATAAAATACTAACAAATCATGCATTGCACGTAGTAGTAGTAGTAATAATAATAATAATAATAATAATAATAATAATAATAAGTTTACATAGGTAAATTTCACATAATAAGTTTACCCCACGATTAATAAAACAAGATACTTCATCGTTTTTATTTTTGACACTTTTTTGTGAATTTTTTTTGAATTAGCGGTTGTTATTTATAACTCTTTAAAAAAACAAAACAAAACCAAAAAAAAAAAACAAAAAAGTCAAGTGAAATCTTGTAAGAATTGTCTCAATATAATATTTATTGATTGATATCAACTTTTTATAACTTTTGCATGTATGTTGATAATTAGAGATATCAATTGTTAAAAGTATGTATTGATATACTTACATGATAAAATAAACCTATCAAATTAAAAAAATTGTAGAAATAAAAAAGAGGTTTTAGGTGACATTTAGGTAAAGAAAACATTACATTTTTCTGGTTTTCCAAAAAAAAAAAAAAAAAAAAAAAATCTACATTATTCTAGCACAAATTTTTTTATATATTATGAGATGATAAAAAATTATATGGAAGAAAGAATTCTCACGAAGGAAGAGGCAATGCTTCTTGAACTAACAAAAATGCGTTTGAGATGCTTATAAAAAGTTTTTTGATGTACGGATGCAATTAGAGGTAGCAATTAGGTTGTTAAATAAAATTTTGTTTAGGTAGGGTAAATGTTCAACTAAAAAATCATTTGACTTGGTTTCAGTCAAATTTGGGATAGGTCGATAAACTTTTATTGCTAATAAGTGTTCTTAAAAAACTATGACCAATGAACCCAAAAATAGTTCATTGAGTACTAGAAACAAACTATTGTTGCTTATATTGAAGTTCGAATTAGACCAAAATTGTATCATGAAACTTCAAATAGAAATTGAGTTTTGGGTATGAGTTATTTAACTTAAACCTAGACATTATTCACTGTACATCAAAAGCTTAATGGATCCTAACAATTCAAGTCCTTGTATTAAAAAAGATCAAGTGATTTTACATCTCGAACTGTACACTGTATCCATATTCTAAGTTATCAATTAGTAAAAACTTTGAGTATAAGAATAAGTCATATATGCGGAATGTAAACAGAATTTGATCTCATATTTTAAATACCACCCTAACATTTTAACCAACTATTCAACTAAATTAATTGTCCCGTGATATTACGGGTATATACAACAGCTTTAATATGTTATGTACCAAAATGTATATTACGAGTATGTACAACACTGGCAATCTGGAGTGGATAAGCATTCATTTTCAGATCATAATGAGCACAATACACTAAATCGAAAGGGACCCTCTTAATCGCACCTACGTTGACATACTTTTGTGTTCCAGTTGTAATAATCTGTTAGGAAAACAACGTAAAATGACCAAAACTTGATCCAATTATACATTGACTAAGTGTGCAAGTTTTACATCATAAAGGCCTACATACGTTACATCATATCAAATCTTTTCCATCGCAAGATAAGGCCAAAATATTATATATTAACTGTTGAAAATAACATACATAAACATAATTAATTAATTAAGGAGATAAATACAATTTTAAACGAACGAAATAATAACACAAGATGCTAATCCTTAGTTCACAAAACAGCTAAACTCTCCTACTAAAGCAAAAGGCTAATTAAGGTTCTCTTCACCACAACTGTGCACCTCAAGTCCAAAGGGGAGAAGCCGAAATCCGAATTGAAACTCTAATAACTCTTTTATATAAGCTAAGTTACTCAATTACATGGGTATCAAAACAAAACCAACTAAGTTTCGGTTGGGTGTTCGAGCCACGGAAACAAGCATTCCTTATTTATTTATTGTGCTTCATTCCAAGTAACTCTTGCTAAGCACCCCACTCGTCGACCATTGATGCCAAATACTCTCGGAAAACTTCTAGCATGTCGCGAAATGTGACCATTCCAACAAGGCCACAATCATCCTCCATGACCCAAACATAGTTTACCCTATGTGCAATAGCTTGGATCATTACCGCAACTAATGAACTCTTGGGGTGGCAAACGATTGCCTCCGCCTTCCTGACTAGCCTAGCCGAGTAGCTCCATGACCTATTATACCGTGTAAGCCTTGAGGTAGATGATGAAGAAGACACTGACTCGTCGTCTGATGAGGAGGACGCGGAGGAAGAATATGACGAGTACTCATCACCCAACAATTCTAGCAACCCTTCTAGTTTCTTCTCCTTCAAACCCGCCTTCATGACACTTACGATGTCCTCAGGAGGACCACCCCAATCAATGTAGGACATGAGGTCCCCTGAAGATAAGGTCATCAGCGCCGCTGCAACAGTCTCATCACAGGCAGAGAGGGTGTAAGGGGAAATTTCCCCGACAAGGACCCCGTCTTCATCCACCACCCCAACAGAGCTTTGCTCAACTAACGATTGAGCAATCGCCTCGAGTGCAGTCACTGCTGGGGCATGGTAATCCACAGCAAGAATGTTGGTTTGGATGATCCCAAGCTCCTCGACTGAGAGGCTTGGGATCGGGGTAAACAAGCCAATCCGGCTTAGAATGAATTGGATCACGTCTTCCGGGGTTAACCAACAATATTCACGACCGTTATGGATCGTAGGTCCCTTGGCTTTCTGCTGCTTTCTTCTCGAATTCGAGCTAGCTGTATTTTGTATGGGCACCACTAAATTTTGAGCACCATCCAAGATCAGATCAATTGCTTCCAGTAAGCTGAAGATTAAAAAAACAAACAAGAGGAAACAATTAGTAATGGGCTAGAAAACTATATATGCTAGGAAACAAATTAGTACATACTCAACCGTAACGCGACACTTTAAACTGAATATGCAGGACATGGGATCATAAAACAAAATTCATTTTAGCCTTGTTTGCCAAAGTTTCCAAGAATTTGGTCATGTCCTGTTACATACATTGGGATGACATTTTACCCCAAATCTATATCTAACGCAACAAATTTTCTACTAAATTTAACATTGCCTTCTTGTTTTCGTGTTGTGTTATGTTATACTCGTCTCATTGACCCTTAGCACATTCGATAATAATTGATGATAGTCCTGTTGTATTATACTCTGCACTTAATAGGGATGTCAAAATTCAATGCACCAAAATTCCTCTCTTATGTTTCATAATTTTTAAGTCGATAATTTTTAATCGACTACGTCTTGGAAACCGAAGAAAAAACACCCTTAAAAGCCACAACATATATAGCTTTTAAGTTTAATTACACTAACAAATCGGCTTAAAATAAAGACAGCAGTAATTCAGCTATTACTAAATCGAGCTGAAAAGAAACCCATATGCCACGGAACCTTGACCGCAGAACAAGATCTCATATATGCATGCATCGCAACATAAATACATCTAGCTACTTCGTTACAAGTACGGACTCAACAAAGTCAATACACCCCTCAACCATCACAAATAACACTTAATAAGATCTATATTATGTGGTGGCCAAACAAAAACACATCCTAATAAATCGCATGTGGCGAGTTTCTAATTAGGTTAGCTCTTTTCCTCTTTCGTTGAATCTAATCACGCTTCACTTGTAAATAGTCTTCAATTAAATACCAATTAGTTGGGTATGTACCTCTATGAGCACATGTCTTTATCCTTACAAATAACAGCAAGTCGAGAGCATTTATTGCTCAAGTTTTCATCAACTTAACTCCTGACACTACCAAAGATACCATATAAAGAAGTACATACTGTAATGTAAACCAAAACACGAGCCATCATTTTCATTCAGTAAGTCTCGACACTTCTATTACTTTAACCCTAAGACTATAACAATTACCGACTATAAATGGATAAATAAAATTGAAATTATTTGTCTTTACTTTCGAAATGGATGGCTAAACCAATTGGTCTCAATGAGACCGAACAATGGTACTATAGTATTCGCCTACACTAAATCTAATGACAATTGACTACTAGTACAAATTTCCATTAACATAAACCTAAAGAGTGTATACTTTACAATTTTGATATGCTTGTACAAATTTGTACATGGAGTACCCTCTTGGTTAGCTCTTAATTGCTTAATTTACACCCTTTCGAACAACTACTTCACCTAATCAAATTTACAATTCATTGTCTATGACCATAAGAAATTACAATTCCTATTAATTAAGTCTTAATTACTACATTATAAATAATTAATATCGTGACAATTGACGTGATAAGTGACGTTTTTATATTTTACTCCGTACTAGCTACACCGGGCCGCTTTCCTATTACAAAGAGATTAAATTAATTAGATTAATTACTACTACTTACCTTATAATACAAAGAAAATTTTACAGCTACCTATAGTTGACATTTCCCTAATTTAGAACTATCAAGTAGCTTGAAGTAGTAGTGGTAGTATAGTAACGTAAGTCAAAGATGAATTAACTTAGTTTGACCACGTGTTTCATGCCTTAAATAAATTATTTTATATTAATGTCAAGTTTGTTGCATTTAACCAAATTGGAGTACAAACTTACAAAAAGTTACATGCAATACATAATAAACCATTTTTAATAGATTTATTACTCCGTATCATTTAATTTGATCAATATGGAGTAATTTACTACATTTATTTTTAATTAACTTTGCATGAACCGGAGAGGAAGGTAGCACACACAAATTGGATGTTTTTTTTCCCTCTTAATTTTTTTTGGATTATTGGGTTTTTTTTTTTTTTTTATAATGGGGGCTAATTTTGGCCTTATTAGTAATATTGGATGTCATTTTCAGCCTAGTAATATAAAACCGAAACCAAATCACGTAAAATCTAGAAAAAAACACTCATAAAATTTAATAAAAGAAAGACATAACATGTTGTTACGCATCCTTGTCAAATGCCATATTTTTGTTTTTGCTACGTATGTTTACTATATAGACGAGAATTTATGGTCAAAGTTTGTAAGTTTCAGTTCTACAAGGGACGGATTTATGTAAATAAAGTCTAGAAATTTATTTCAAGTAAGAGTTATTAGACTAGTGAATTAGTGATGATCCTGCATTAACTTTTCTATTAAAGGTATGTATAAATTTGCACTTTTTCAATTTTCAACTCATTAAGGGAAAGGAACTCAATTTGTGAGAAGGTTGTCCTAACCATGTTTATTTTACTATTTCTGATAATAAAAACTATTTATGGTGACTGAAATTCAAGTACAAGTACACTTTGTTTTTCCCTCAAAAAAAAAAAAAAAAAGAAAAAAAAAGAAAAGAAAAATGATGTGTAAAGTACATTTAATAAATTAAAGGCATTATTATAAAAGTTAAAAGATGTAGATTTGTAGCAACTATTATAAAGCATATAGACCAAATTAAACTCAATTAAATAAAACAAATTGCACATCTAGGCAGCTAGCTACATCATGATTCTACACACCCCTTAGAAAATTATATACTCAAGTACAAATTCTTCCCAAAAATAGCTTTAATTATGAGGAAATTTAGGACCATAATTTAAATGGATTAAAAAAATGTTCAAATTTTGCTAATTATAACAAATCAACCTAATTTAATTAATCATGCTTTATGTATACAAGTTCAAGTGATTTAATTTTTAAACTTTCCCATTTCAACCTTAGATATTTTTACATATGTCATACAAATTTGCAATACCAAGTCCGTTGTAAAATACCCAAATACCCTTAGATGCACCTAACTCTGTTCGTGTCCATTCTCGTAACAACTTATAAATCGACCATATTGTTAACTTCAAGGTACCAAGAGGCAACAACATAAGATTTTGTAATTAAAAAATAAATATATTCAGATTAAAGACAAAACTTACAATTAAATTAATTTTTTTTTAAATGTACAAAAAAATATAAGAGATGAATCATACCTAGTAGAAGGATCCACGTGTTTGATAAAGGCAGAATCTTGAGGCAAAATGGCAGAAACAGGGGAAAGCAGGGCAGATGAAGGAGATTCCAAATTCTTTTCTTGACATAAAAATAATATGATATCTACCATACATATTTTCCCAACACATTTACATGACGACCCAAATTCATAATCATAATTAACTTTATTATTGTTTTGATAATTATGATTATTAATTTTACTTAAGGGTAGTTCATCACACTCGCAAGACCATATGCTAATGAAGCTATCTTTAGAAGCTTTAATGGCGGAAAGAGCATCAGCAATGGTGGTTGTGGAGGAGAGAGAAAGTGATTTTATTGCTGGTTTTCCCAAGCAAAGGTCAGATACCTCATGGGTTAACAAGCTGATTGCCATGCAAGAAGAAATAAAAATGGATTTTTTAGAGAGAGAAAGTGAGTATTTTTAGAGAGAGAAAGTTGAAAATTTTTGGTAGTGAGTAAGTAAAAATGTTATCAATTGTGGGTGTATTTATAAATTTGAGAAAAATAGAAAAATTGTGGGATGTTACAAAAGTTCAAGGGTTTATGACATGTGGTGAGGTATTTGTACTATGATACAAAAATTTTGGGGGCATTTTGTATTTCTTTTGTATTTATACTTTTTTAATTATACAAGTGGGGTCTTCATTTTTTTAATGGAAAAAGGTTTATTGAAGAGGTACTTTATTTTATTTTTTATTAAAAATATTGTAAAAGTGAAAAAGGGTTGTTAGTCAAGAGTGGCATGAAGAGGATTGGAGGATGTGAGTGTTATACAAATCATTAGTTCAACCATTCTTAATCAAAACATTGTCACAAGAAAAAATAAAATTCATTCATTTTGGTTTAGTATCTCACTTAAAATTTAATTTTCTAGAATGATGTTTTGTGGAGTTTAATATATATAACTTCTAAACTATTAAAGAGAAGATGAATGTGATTTGACCGGTAATAAAAGTAACCTCACTAAAGTAACCCTTCAAGTAACCCCCAAAGTAATCCCACTTAAGTAACCTCCTACTAGTTCCGGTTAGGGGTTACTAGGTTCGATCAGGGGTTACTTGGTCCAGTTAGAGGTTACTTAAGGGGTTACTTTGGGGGTTACTTGGGGAATTAGTAGGAGGTTACTTAAGTGGGATTACTTTGGGGGTTACTTGAAGGGTTACTTTAGTGAGGTTACTTGGGGGGTTACTAACTGGGCACCCTGCCGCATCGTGCGGCCAGCCGCACCAGAAACGCACTGTATATATATATATATATATATATATATATATATATATATATATATATATATATATATATATATATATATATATATATATATATATACTAGTATATATATATATATATATATATATATATATATATATATATATTACGGGCCTGTTTTGATTTACTAAGAACAAGTGAACAACTGAACTAAACTGAATTGAGATGAAATGAATTGTTTGTGAGGTAAGAAAATAAAGAATTGAACTGATTGGAGCTGAACTGAATTGAATTAATTGGAGCTGAACTACACTAAACTGAACTGAAATTAAGCTGAATAGAACATGCCCTATGTACGTAGCTAGACTTTCTACTGTCAAAGGAATTATTAATCCTAATGTTAGAACAAATGATGATTTAGGGCTTGTTCTCATTGCACTAGTAGAAAAAACGCATTAGTCAACGGTTCAAACCCGGTCTAAGGCACCGGTTTGAACCGCTGCCTATTTGAGGGGTGCCAAAAACCCCCTATTTGGCACCGGTTCAAAACCGGTGCCATAGGGTTTAATAGGCACCGGTTAACCGGTGCCATAGGGTAGAATAGGCACTGGTTAACCGGTGCCTAATACTGCTCTCCCGCCATTTTTTTTTTGGTGGTGGATAGTTTAGGAACCGGTTCCTGCCTAACCGGTGCCTTTTGTATAATTTTTTTTTTTCGTTTTTTTTTTCAATCGTGCAATAATATTTTAAAAAAAAAACCTGCAATAATAATACCCTGTAATTCCAGCAATTATATTAAATATAATAATTAATAATTTTATTATTATAATAACTAATAATGATATTATTAATTATTATATACAAAAATAATATTAGATACAAGAATTCAATTATATATATATACATAGATATAAATATTCCCAAACGCAATACAAAAAAAAAAAAAAAAGTTGCTTACATATACAAATAATAGTAAGTACACATATATAATGAATAATAAGTTATATATAGTTCAAAAGTTAACATAAATAATTTACAATTACAATGCATGCCGTTTACATGTTGAAGGTGATGAAAGACGCCAACATGTCACGAATTTCATTAAGCTCCTTGATTGTCAACGGACCATCCTTTTGGACCTTGCAAAACTTGAAATACAAAAACATTATTTTAAAAATAATTAATTAGGCAAAAAATATGTATTTTATCAAATATTACCTATACGACTTCTATATAGCCCATTTACTACATTACTTATCAAATGAACTATTTCTTTCTCATAACATTTCAATATTGGATAGTTGTATGTGTGTAAGCTCTAAAATTGTATAGGAGAGCATTTTATTAAGGTTTATGACGGTTTTTACCCAAAATGGCCCGAATATGGCCTATATGACCTTACTTTGCCCATTTCCTACATTTCTTATTAAATGAACTTTATTTATCTCATAACATGTCAATATTATCTAGTTATAGGTTTATAAGGAAAGAAATCACATTAAAAGAGCATATTAACACAAAATGGCCCTAATATGGCCCATATGACTTCTATTCAACCCATTTTCTACCTTTCTTGTGAAATAGCCTTTTTGTTTCTCATAACATGTCATTGTTGGATAATATTAGGTGTCTAAGGCTAGCAATCACATCAATATAGCATTTCAAGAAGTTTAACAACGCATTTTACTCAACATGGCCCAAATAGGGCTTATATGACTTCTATGTAGCCTATTTTCTACATTATTTATCAAATGAACTATTTCTTTCTCATAACATGTCAATGTTGGGTAGTTGTATGTGTGTAAGCCCTAAAATTGTATAGGAGAGCATTTTATTAAGGTTTACGACGCTTTTTACTCAAAATGGCCCGAATATGGCCTATATGACCTTACTTTGCCCATTTCCTACATTTCTTATTAAATGAACTTTATTTATCTCATAACATGTCAATATTATCTAGTTATATGTGTATAAGGAAAGAAATCACATCAAAAGAGCATATTAACACAAAATGGCCCTAACATGGCCCATATGACTTCTATTCAGCCCATTTTCTACCTTTCTTGTGAAATAGCTTTTTTGTTACTCATAACATGCCATTGTTGGGTAATATTAAGTGTCTAAGGCGTGAAATCACATCAATATAGCATTTCAAGAAGTTTTAGGACTTACCTCATCAAGTTGTTGAGTGTCCGTACAATGAGTCACAATGTCAAGCATGAATCTCATCACATACAAAGCACAATCAAGTCCATTCTCTTGTTGTGCGCACTAGCATATGACAAACAAATCACATCAGTGAAACATGCAAAGGAAATGAGCAAATATTTACTACCATAGAACAAGTTTGATCAACTTAATATTCAATGCTGGTATTCAATCTCTTCTACATCACTACTCTACAAGACTCTCTATGACATTCATACAATCTCATCTCATCAATGCCAAATCCACACTACCATACACATATCAAACACAGAAGCCCTTGGGAGATTTTAGCATTGTACAAAAACAGAATCATTATCAGCTCAATATCATGACATCTTAGGGTCTCATGGAGTAATTCAAAATCCCTGGCCCATAAATGGACCTCTTATTAAGGTTGGCTCAGGTTGTATTATAAGAAGCCTCTGTCTCCTAGAGTTAATTCACCTTTATATGCAAGGATGATATACTTTCTAAGGGGTAGGGCACTTCCAAAAAATCACTTCAGTGAAGGGGGATCAAAGCCAATGCCATGTTACCTTAAGTTCTCTATATGACATTGTTTTGTTTTTCCAATCATCCAAAGAATTGCACCTCGATGACAAAAAACATTCCAACAATATCCTCATGCAATATACACAGTAATGAATATAAGACATGAGATAGAGAGTGACACCTGAGTACCTGACACTATTTATAACTATAAACACACAAATATTATCAACACTACCACCATAACCTAACAAAGTTCAAGCCTCTAAGGAGATCAAGTTGTCCAGATGTAAGCAAAGTCATTTTAAACATTTTTAGTACATGACTTACCAGAATTTAATAATTTTACAAATATTTATAAAAAATTCAGCCAAGTGATAATTATCCTTAAGAAACATTACCATGAACAAAAAAAGTTGAGCAAACAAATATATTGCAGCAATTAAAAGTTACTTGCACAAGGATGACTCCGTGGATGGAAATAATGCTCCCTTTGAAGAGGTTCCTTGCTTTCTTCTAGTTGTCCCATGGATAACCTCATGTAATTCATGTTTATTCCAGCATATGGAGTACCTTCACAGCACCGTGGCTTGAATTTTGCAACTCAAAGTCACATATCCACCACCAGGAAATGAACAACCAAATGAAGACTCACCCACGCGTTAAAGTCGCCTGAGCAGAACCAAGATGCTGAAATTCCTTAGGTGGGGCAGGAGCTTCAAAAAATAAAGGCTGCAAAATCAAGAGGCCACCTTTATGATGAGTCGAAGTGCATACTGCATTGACATTTAACACACTATGCATACCTCATTAATTAGAAAAGGATCAACTAACATATTTGATATAGGTGTTAGCCTATCATACAATGCCCTCCTCAAGTTTTCCTTCAGAGAAAGGGTTTGAGAACTACTGCATGATTGCCCAATGGTGACTGAAGAAATATAAACAGGTTGGAGCAGGTAGGAAAGCATTGCACCTGATACGAAAGTAAAGTATACATCTCGTTATCAAAGACATACCATAGATCTATGTGTAACAGACTAACAGTTAAATAAATGATGTTTCTATTCGTAAACAGACTTGTAATTTTTTTTTTATTTTTTTCCTCATATTCAGATACCAATGTTGCGTTTCTGATTTCCTTGTAGCTTTCTACATTCTTTGTTCTTTATCCCAACAAATCATGACCGAAACAGTTAACTCCAATCTTGACTAATCTTTGCTGCTTTTTTTTTATTCTATGCATTCTATAGCTCCCTTTTGTTATGTGTGGAGTTGCTAGCATTTTCCATGGATAGGATGAATAAATTTAAAAGATCTAAACCTATTTTTTTAAGTTTTTCATTGACAATAGAAAGATCAAATTACCAAACTTCTTCACAAACAGAGCTGACACACAAGAAATCACATCAAAATTGAGGTCTGTTTGCTCAAGGCTTTATTTTAAAAGATCATAATCCTTAACACACATGGAACCCTCCAGATGACTGACCTTGTATTCCAACAACATTCCAGCGTGCTATTTTGTCAGAACAGCTAACAGAAGAAGTCGTGGCACCACAGCCAGGCTTTCTTTGAACTAAGCCAGTAATTGTTGGACAGTCACCTGCAAAAAAAAAAAAAAAAAAAAAAGTCACCAAGAACAATTTTCAATATTTAGAGACTAACACATGATGAAAATCCATAGACAAGGGATATGCATTACTTTTTTCTAACACAATCTGACATATATGTAATGCACCATAGATCTTAACTAATGATGATTATTTCGTAATCTTTAATTATAACATGAGGAGCTAGCAATGCCTTCCCCCATTTATAAGGTTTCAGGCATCATCTCATAAAGTCCATACAATAAATCTACAAAATTTCTTCTACTCAATAAACTTCTACTGATTTCATGTTCAATCAAAAGCACAATACGTTGTATGGAAACATTTGTTTAATGTAGAAGCCGCTGCAGACAAGATGCATCTAGTAAAATAATGTATCACGATGTAATGTAACCAAGTCATATAACTGCAGAGGTAGAGAAGATGAAAGAATACATTCAACCATTCTTCTTCAATAAAGCTTCGGAAGTTTTTTCTCCGGGAGGATGAAACACATTTGTTGATGATGTTGGGACCTCTTCTCCAAAGGAAATATTTCTCAACGATTGTGGCAAACTAAGTGAAGCATCTCCACCTATAAAAATAACAACTAGATTTGAAATCTGAAACCCTAAATCTAACAAAAATCAATAATCAAACAAATTACTACCAAAATCAGCACAGGGATTAGCAATTCAAAGCGAGACTGTAATGTTCATAGATTCAGATCTAGAAATTACCGGCTTAACTATTGTTAACATCAACGGTACCGAGCTACCAAGCAACCTTCAGCAAGAATTCAGAAACATTGGAGGTCCAAGTAACTTCGGCGTGGAGGGGGTTGAGCTGAGGGGAGAAAGAGAATGGCAGGGGAGAAGAGAATGGCAGGGGAGAAAGAGAAGGCCAGGGGTGGCGGCGGTGATGGTGGCCGGCGACTGTTGCGGCGGTGAGGTGAGGGGTTTCGTAGGTGAGGTGAGGGGTTTAGAGAATGGAACAGTGAAGAAGATAATTTTGAACAGCGAAAATGAAAAGAAAGAGAAAGAGAAGGAAGAATAAGGAAGAAAGAAGACGCGGTTTTTTTTTTTCAAATGAGGCACCGGTTCATTTGGCACCGGTTCAAACCGGTGCCTTTTACATTTTTGGCACCGGTTTGAATTGAACCGGTGCCTTTTCCCTTTGTTTAAAATCCCGCCCAATTTTGGGCCGGTTTTTGGCACCGGTTTGGGCTGAACCGGTGCCATATGGGGGGTGCCAAATGCAATTTTTCTACTAGTGTTGATTGAACTGAGCTGAACTGAACTGAACTGGACTGAAATGAATATTTTATAAGAGAAGGAAATTAGAAGCTGGACTGAGCTGAACCAAGCTGAAATGAACTGAATTTTAACGTAAGAGAACAGGCCCTTAGTAGCTCATTGATAATCATATCAAAGAAGAGGAAATACACATGATTCAGTGGAGAGGATTTAAAAAATTGTTTAGAGCATGCATAAATTCCAATAATATTATTGATTTTCGATGCAATTTGATCTCATGTTGAAATTCTAGTCCAAACGAGGAGGTTTTATAACCTTCTAATTTGTAAAAATATTTGACAAGAATGCAATTGAGGGTAAGTGCTATAAGATGGTGGTGCACGTCGAATAAAAAGACAATGATTCACGTATCTAGTGGGATAAAATTTCATTGACAAACAAAACAATACTAATAATAATAAAGTTTGCAAGCCAAAATCTCAATTTTGCCTGCTAATTGACGACTTAAGATTTAAAAATGTATACAACTCGAAAATAGGACAAATGATTTATTTGGGAAAATAATTCACAACATACAAATAGTAATTTGTTTTTTGTTCTTTGGATATATATATAGAGGTTGATGTACAAGGACAGATGATGAGAATCGATTCCAATATCTCTTAGAACCAGAAGGGAAGCTCCAATCACTTGAGCTATCCCTTACTCTCGTACAAATAGTAATTATGGCATACGTATGTTTTTAGTTTCAAATACAAATCGCCACCAAAATATATGTTCATATATAGTTCAATATCAAAAATAAGTCATACAGTACTTCGTAATATTTTACAAAGAAAATAATTGAACGAAGGTTTTGAATCTAATGTTTAATTTTAGTTCAAAAACAATTACTAAAATGCTAAGCAAGAGTTATTAAATTTTCAGGCTCGACATTATAAATACACATATACTCAAATTATAGACGACATTTTTTTTATTTTGTTTGGTGTTTAGAGAGCTATAAGGGCGAGGATGAGAATCAATCTTGGATCTCCCGAAATCAGAAGGAAAACTCTAATTACTTGAGCTATTCCTCACTTTCACATAGATGACATTTTAAAATGTACTTAAATAGTTTCTTTAACCTTTAAATTGTGTTAGTTGGTTGAAAATTGGCTGAACCACATTGCATTTCTATAATTTCTTACAAGCTTTTTTGTAACATATAATATATGGTCTTTAAATGTTATATTCGTCATACTTTCCTTCAGCAGTAATCATTATAGTACTTTATTAAAAGAGTTGATAAAGAATAGTTTCCAAAATATGAAATGGAAAACAAAGCCATTAAGTGTTAAACAATTTGATTATACAAGGACTTCCAATTCATGAATTTTATATGTAATTATAAATATGTATATCATTATGTACGCATATGGAGTACCCTCTTGCTATAATTTTCAGCACGCCGCGGGGGTGGTTTTGAGTATGTGAAGGGTGGTCGATCGCACAAGGTCCCTAAGTAAAACTATTATAAAAGGGCCCAAATTTTTTAGTTTAGTAACATATTTTTCCTCAAAAAATGATTTTAGGGCTCAATCTAACAAATTTGCACCAGGCCACTTTTAATATTAGCGTTTGTAGCCCCGTCTCTGATTTTCAGTCTTTTACAACTACTTCACCTAAGCAAATAATTACAGGATTTCATTGTTTTCTTATTTGATTTAGTCCTAACTAAGCTACTATATGTCTAGACTATAAATAAATCAAGATAAGATCGATGAAAAAAACACATTTGTGTTAACCTTTACTTGAACTTATTTAATTTTCCAAGTGAGTCCTTCCTACTTGCATAAGATTGTACCAATAGCACCATTTTGTTCAACTACAAGATCTACATATATATTTCCACAAAATGAATAGCAAATAAGCAAAAATAAAGATAAATAAATAAATAAGGAGTACAATTTTAATAAATTATGTATTATATTCTCAATCTATAAGAAAGAACCAAAAATTTAGTCCTAAAGAGTATATCTTCACATTGCAAATTGTATGTTGTCCTTGTCCTAAATTAAAGTCCAACTTAAACAAAATAATTATATATAAATTATAAAATTGTGATAGGATATCAAGTTACATGATTTAAATCTATGATAACATATGCAACTTATTCATGATCATTGATCTAACTATTCTTACTAATATTCCAATTAGAGATCAGTGATCACATGTTAACTTTTTGACTAAGTTAATTAAATAATTCTAAAATGTACAAATTTCCCATCAAACACAATACATATAGTCTATATTAGCAGCGTGACAATATGACATAATAATTAATTAACCTTAATTGAGTAATAAACTTTAGTTTAAATTAGTGAAAACACATGCTTAGCACATCTAGAAGGACCGTCAAATTTAGATCTAAGAAACTAATCATTGATAAGCTATTTACCTAAATGTCAAATTGAGTAACATAATTAAAGAATTAATACTAGTACCTTTTTTATTCTACGAGTATTATTCTTTTTTAAGGCAACAAAAGGACAAAACATTGATGCTTTTATGTGTGGTTCAAAATAAACCTGCATGCATGTGGTTGCTTTAATTAAGAAATAAAATTACTTATATTAAACTGTGATTTGTTTGCTAATTATATTACGATTAACCTAATTTCTTTGACCAAATTAATTCTCAACACTTCATGTCCTATTGTTTAAGACTTGAAGGGTAATTAGTAAATTACGGGGTAGTACGGAGTATCATGTAATTTTTTATTTGATCAACACTCACCATTGGTGAACACTTAAGGGCAATACTATTAATTACGAATTTACAAGCGTCATATTCTTATGATCTTTGACGATTTCTTAGTACCATATTAATAAATAAAAATATTAAAGGAATGGATCGGAGATCAAATAAGGTCGTTTTTATGGTACTACTCCTAAGCTAGGGAAACAATAAATAGATATAAAATTATAAAGTGAAGAGTATTATCTTTTTTAATTTTTTCGAAAATACACAATATAACTAATCTAAATCCAATAATAATTTTTTTTATATTTTGTTAAGAAAAATAGTAGCTTGACAAAATGACAATGTACAAACAAAGGAAGAGAGAAAAAGTAAGGAAGAAACTCGTGAAATTAAAAAAAGAAGAGGGGAAAAAAAAGGATATAGGACAAAAAAGTTCCGATGCCGGGAATCGAACCCGGGTCTCCTGGGTGAAAGCCAGATATCCTAACCGCTGGACGACATCGGACTTGTTGTTAATTCTATCATAAGAAATTTATTAATAAATTATCTTAAATAATTTGTCTATCACCTTAAACCCATTCCAACCATTAACCCGAATAAACAAAAGCTTAAACATCTAAATCTTTTTTGACAAACATAACTTTTACTCCATTAAAGTTTAACTAGCCTTCTGACCTGTGCAATGCACGGATTATTCATATAAAATTATATTGAGAGATAAGTGAGAAAATATCAGTAAGTCATTATAGAGTATAATATGTAATAGGAAACATGATTAAAGAAATTAAAATTTTAGAACTTTAATCGAAAAAGAGGCTTAAATAGAAGGAGGAAGGGCTAAAATTAAAGAGAATAGGAAAAGGTTGAATTAAAGGGGAGAGATGAAGATGAATAGATGAAGTGTGTATGAAAAATAAAGTATTATAAGTTTAATGAAAGATTAAAAAAAATGGTGTAATAAAAAATTAATAGTTTAAGATGACATGTGGCACTATGGTTAGAGAAGTGTAATAGAATGGATGGGGACATGTGTCTTTCTTTGTTTCTTGGTTATAGTTTTTAAATATTAAAGTATAGCTAGAAGTATAGATTTAGATTAGTGCATGAAAACTGAAATGAGCTCATTTATTTTAGATATTAAATCCAATCCAATTAAATTGATCTCCTGGGTTAAGTGATGACATTTTTAGCAAAGCCACCATATGGATTAACATACTTCCTCCTATCCCTTGTATCTTTGTCACATATTTTTATAGGCACCTTTGTCAACACATGATTCTAATATTAACAAAGTATACATTATGCAAGATTAACAATGACCCTTTTTTTTTTGAGACAAGAACAATTACCCTAAAAGATTATATTAGTATATTTTATTAAAAGCCAAAAAGTTATGAGAATAGCTAGGGAAGTAAAAACATGTCAACTAATTAATATGAAAAGGAGAAAGTAATTAAACAAATACAAAAAATTAAATTAAATAAATAAATAATTGCACTTTTATGTCTTGATTTGATGATTTATAATGGTGAACTATTATACACAATTTTTGGATTGGTGTCACTATCTTTTACTTGCACTAAATTAATTTTTAATCATTATTCAAACCCTTCTAACCAAATCATTTTTGGGAATATTATTAAAGTTAAGGGTTGTTGGCCCGAAACTAAT